GTGTTTTTTAAATTATGTTGCACGAGAAACTCAGTGCACCAAACTGCAGCCAACTGGCTCTGAAATTTGCATCGAAAGGAGTTGGAATAGACACCCACAGTTAGTAACAACTGCTAGTACTATGGGAGGGTATCTTTACATGGAGCAAGAGACACACACGTGAATAGTCCCAGGAAACCAGTTAGCACAGAACCTTCCACAGAGGATTAAAAGAATCATTACAAAAATAAAACCCATACTTGCTCTTAGAGGCAAGTAAGTGCTGAAGCAGCATTCAAGGTCTCCAGCAGTGGAACTGACAAAGCAGCTGGAAATATCAGGGGCTGACCTGAAGTCCCTCCCAGAAAATAACTCCCTCCCCCAGGGAAAGACCTACAGTGAGGACTTTGCCAGGGCAAAGAGAAATGATTTCAGACAATTTTTTTTTATATTGTACTTTCCAGGAATTATGTAACTATTCCTCTTTCGATAAACAAATCCATCCCTGGGACAGGTTGGGTTTTCGGGAGGAATCGGGTACTGACACCATAACCCGGATTTGGGTGAGGTCTGTCTGTGCGATCAGGGGTGCAGGTAAAGCCCCAGCTGCCCTCGGGATGGATGGCCCCACTGAGCCTCAGAAAGGGATCATGCTGCATTCTTTTTAAGGAAACTACGGCACCCCCATGGCAAACACACCATCCTGGGAACAGAAGGCACATTGGAGTCACCTTCTGTTCCTTCAATCTGACTTGTTTATGTCAGGAGTGGTTCTGATGCAAGTATGAGAAATGCCATCCAACTGGTTTAGGGTAGAGGGAAATCCTCTTATGGCTGAAGGGATAGGAGCACGGCAGTTAAGCTGGGCTCGCTTGGAGGCAGGAGCAGGAGGGCCCTGCGGGAGAACAGAGGTCCACACGGAGCCTCTCGGGAAGCACCTGCCAGGAAGAGGCAGCTGAGACGAGGTGATCAAGGACCCAGAGGGCTGCATCTGTCCAGAAACTCAGTGGCAAGGGGCCCCAAGGCCGGCGGAGGCTTCGTGTCCACTGCAAGTGCAGATTTCTCCCACAGCCTAATGAGGGCTTTCGTGATGATGCACAAGGGACCTCTGGCCAGTGGTCTGAGGAGGGGACTCATCTGAACGTGAGGGATCTGGGTGCATCTGCTTAGTCTGATGACAAGGTACACAGGTCAGAAAGGGAGATGGTATTGGTCCAGTCTGCCTTTCACTGAGACCCCTGACCAACGCCCTCAGAAGCCAAAGACAGCACTGCTTTGTGGTCCAAGAACAGAGTGTCACAAGAAAGAGTAAGATAATTCATCCCACTTCATACAGTGCCCGATGGAGCCCACCCACAAGTACTAAATGGCAGAGGACATACAGGTGGCAACTGCAAGGGAGGAGTAGGAAAATAATGACCTGGACAGTGGAGGTGGGGAGTCGGGAGAGGACAGTGTCAGAGGCTTAGGGCTTATAGCCAGACTATCTGGGCCAAGTCCTGGCTCTGCCACTTTCCAGTTATGTGACCCTAGGCAACCTCTCAGGCCTGCTTACTCAATGGGCTATTGAGCATTCATTGAGATAATGCATTAAAATGTCTAGCAAAGTGCCAGGCACAGAGAAAGCAAACAATAAACAACAGCTCTCATGATCATTTTATAAGAGACAAGAGGCCACCCTTAATGATCCCGGAGCACGTCTGCTACTCAAACCAGTGGACTGCACTGGGCTACTCGCACCCTAATACCACGGATCTCATCCTTCAACTGATTAGCCTCGGGCAAAGCAGGAATGGGCCCGGGGGCTGTGCACACCAACACGCCCCCACCTGTAGATCTGAGATGGGGATTTGCCAGTCATCAAGCAGAAAGACACTGCAGTTTACAGCAAGCCGTAAGAAGACAACAAGGAAAGGATAAGAAAACATGAGAAAAGAAAGCATAGAATGATATTCAATTCAATAATATGGCTTAAGACTATACAAAAGTGAAAGACTTTTACTCCCCTACTAAAAGGCAAGGTCTCTCACAGTGGGTCCAACTTACGCTGTTTTCAAGGATCATGCCTAAAAACAAAGCAATTTAAAGCATTAAAATCTAAAATATAGTCAAAGATTTATAAAATGAATGTAAATGAAAAATAAAACAGATTTCACAGAGTATCAGACAAAGAAGTAAAAGTAAACAAACAAATGGTATCCAGATTATTTTGCACGGGACGCTTCACAGTGAACTTACGACTGCTATAAACTTCCGTATGCTAAATGATGCAAGGCAAAAAGGATTAGAAACGCAACGGGACTCTAACAGGTTTCTGTCTTCATAGACCAAGTTGTCAAAAATTAATCATTTGAATATTATAATGGAATTAAAAAAGTAATTTGAGAGATTATACATTCTTTTACAGCACCCATGAAACATTTACAAAAACTGATATTATATTAAACCGCAAGGTAAATATCAAACATTTTAAAAACCTAGAAAGCATGTATGTCACATATTCTAAACCAGTGTAAAAAAATTAGAGAGAAGACTGTTTTTAAAAACTAAAGCCATTTATAGTGGTGTTATGCATAATAGCGAAAAAGTGAAACAACTCAAACGTCCATTAAATGATGAAAGGATAAATAAAACATAGCGTACCCATACAGTGGAATACTATTTAGCAATAAGGAATGAACTACTGATCACGCTCCAATATGGATGAACTTTGAAAACATGACGCTAAGAGAAAGAAGCCACTCATAAAAGACCACATATTGTATGATTCATTTCTATGAAATGAACAGAATAAGCAAATCTATGGAGACAGAAAGGAGATTAGTGGTTGCTGGGGGCGGAAGGGAGGTGGCTAGAAGGAAAAGGGAGTGACTACTAATGGGTGTGGGGTTTCTGTTCAGGGTGATAAAAATGTTCTAAAATTGACTGTGCTGATGGTTGCACAACTCTGTGAACATACTAAGAATCACTGAATTGTATACTTTGAATGGATGATCTATGAATTGTATCTCAATAAAGCCATTTTTTAAAAAAAAGCAAAAACCTCAAGCCCTTGAAAATTAAAAAACCACTACCTTAAATAATACTTGGATAAAATAAAAATTGAAACTACAATTACAGAACATTTCAAGAATATCACTGAGAACACTATACATCAAAACATGTAGGATACAACAAAAGCAGCAATTGGAGGAAAACGAACACCCTTGACTAGTCCCCCCAAAAAGTGGAAAGAACAAGATATACACAAATCACCCAATAATTCAACTGCCGTAGTTAATGGAGATAACAAAACAACTTAAGAAAAGCAGGAGAAATGAATTATAAAAGACAAAAGCAGAAATTCCGTATTTCATCAAATCTAGGATATCTATCATAAGACGCACCATTATTTTATATATTATTAAGAAAAACTGCTGCCAATTAAAAATTGTCACAGTGCTTTGTAACCATCAATTGAAAGATGGATCCCAATTTCAGAGGTGTTAAAATGTGGAGAGAAAAAGCACATTCTAGACTGATGAAATACAGTAAATTAGAAAGCAGAAAGACAATGCGACTGATAAACAAATACAAAGTCTAATTCTTTGGAAGGACCAACAGACGTACCTCTGGCAAAGCAAATTAAAAAAAGAAAGAGAAAACAAAAATGCAAACTATTAGGAATGCAAAGCAAATATAACTATATACACACAGGAGGTTAAAATTTATAAGAGAATATTATGTATAAACTCTATGGTCAAAAAAAAATTAAACGAGAAAAAAACTCTATGCTAATAATTTTGAAAACTTCGATCAAATGGACAATTTTCTACTAAAATTAAATTTTCCAAGTTGGCTTTAAAAGAATTAGAAAATCTAAATAAATGATGCTTGTGGAAGACATTTAAAAGCCGTCAAAAATCTATTTCCAAAAAATTGCACTAGATCTCTGAAAATATTAGGAGTCACTTCTATAAAACCTTAATTTCCCTTGTTATTAATATTATTTTAGACCATAAAAAGATAAAAACTTTTTCATAAAACTAGCATAACTGTGAAACCCAAACTACAAGAAGTATTTTTCACCTGTCAAATTGGCAAAGAAAAAAAAGAGAGAAAGGAAAAGAAAAAAAGCATATGAAAATGCACAATATTTGTGCATGTGAGTGAAATAGGCAATTTCACCCCCTTCCAATGAAACCTCCATGGAGGTCGTTTTGAAAATACACATGAAAAGGCATACAATTCTGCCTAAGTTTTGACCCAATAATCACACTTCTAGGAATTTATTATAATGTAATAATCATTACTATACGTAGAAAGTTTTTGCAACAAGGATGTTCACTGTAAACTTTTAATAGCAAAAATGTAGAAGCAACTTAAGTGTCAATATTAGAGAGCAGATTCGAGTTTGACAAATCCTTCTGATGAGACTGAGTCACAGCGTAGAAATACAGCTCAGAAATGTTCATGATGGAGTAAACATACGTATTTTACATGCACCTGAATGAATGAAAGGATATGAAGCAAAATCATGATTATCTCTAGGTGAGATAACAAATGATATTAATTTTCTTCTCTTCCTAATTCCTGACAGGGAACATGTATCATTTTCTAAAGAGAAGAATCAATAATTGTCATTATAATCTTATTGGTACAAATCTTATAAAATATATTAATAATGCCCAGAGAACCAGACAGAGGGGTTTGGGCCTGAGTTCTCCCAGTTCGGGAGGATGTGGATGAGCCAGTAAGAGTCTTGTTACTGTCACTGTGACCCTCTGGGCTGCAGGCTAGGGAGGCTTGGGATTCACTGGTCACTTGTATAAGAAGCAGAATATCCTTGTTTCAAGACCCTCATCAAGGTTCCCATCCCTGGGAAGTATCAACAGCCTGTTCCAATCCAAGGAGCTAACCAATTACCTATTTATCCACAGCCCGTGAGGCTTCCTGGAAAGTTCTCAACTAGAACTGTAGAAACATCTTATTTGGCACTGAGCAGGTTTCTTAAAAAATAATAAGCCAACTCAGACTCCTACCGAGATAGGGAATACTGGGAACCATCTTCAGGCTTCGGATATATTCCCGAGTCCGCTTGTAATTATCTTCTTTAGACATCAGGTAGTCCAATTTCTCAAAGGTGGTCTTGTCTTTTCGATTCAAAAGCTGGAGTGAGAAGAAAATATAGAGTATGAGAGAGAAGAGAAATAAACCACAGGAAGCTAAAGAGAAAGAATAACTGTGGATGAAGACTAAAAGGAAACATCCTAAATGGCATGTGTATGGTGTGCCAAATCCTGGGCACAACTAAAGATTTTAAGAGGCATTTTCATGCAGAGATGGGAAGTTTCATGGCCTTGATTTTGTCTTTTTTCATAGAATCTCACACTTGGAAGACATCCTCCGAAACAACCTAGTCCACTATTCTAAATGATGCCAGAATCCCCTGCATAGCAGCTACTTCCAAGGGTGCACAGAACCTACAACAGCAAGGAGCTCAGAGAGCAAAGCAAATTGCTCAAGGTCACCCAGAGTTATTTCACAGCTATACCAGGTCTCTTTCCACGAGTCCACAGCTTCTTGCTCTCTCCTCAACATCTTCACCACTGCTGGAGGCCCCAGGAAAATTCAATAATTCACCTGTGTATGTTGTGCACATAGCCAGGCCATCTCTCCAATCTAGGCTATCTCCTCCAGATGCCCTATAGTCTATGGCTGTGTCATATTTATGCTGGGTATGGTATTTTAATTAAAAGAAGCCCAATTTCTTTTCCATATGCACTCATCAAAGGGGTGACTTAGTTAAGCAAATACAGGATGAGCAGGTACGCACAGCCCAGAGATTCATAAAGATCCTTTATGACTGAGATCTGTGGTATGGAGAGCTTGGTCACCAGGGAAGGGATGGCTCCATGTGTATAAGGAGCCTTCTTGGAAGGAAGGAATAGAAACCTGAATTCCTGATTTTCCAGACTTGATACTAGGGACTCAGACTGCAGTCACCCTACATGTCCTAGGTCAAGACTTGTGTGTGTGTCTAATAATTAAAACACTGAATATTCATTGAATAAAAGCGATTTAGCTATAGTAACATGAGTGTTTTTTAAGAATGAGGGAAGGTGGTTCAGGAAAACTAAACCAAAATCTATCATAAAAAAGAAGTCACCGAACGTCTAAAATGAATGGATCAATAAATTACAGCAAAAACACATTCGTGGGAATGTGGCAGAAACTACCAGAAGAAACCATTAAACAACTGTAAGTGGGTTGCCTCTGGGGAATGAATAGGGAATGGAGAGAGAGAACAATGAGTGTGAGTTGTTTCAATAAGCCTTTCAGTACAGTTATCTTTAAAATTAATGGCATGTATTATGGTGAAAATACTCTTTTAAGATGTAATTTTTTTAAACATAGGGTTTGTTTATTCAAAAAATAACAGCATTTACTTATACATGTTTTAACTTTTATTACAAGTAGGGTCATAAACTGAAAATCTCATGTGAACTGAAGGTCCTTTAGATTTTAGAGTTTACACGAAGCCCCAGGAAGAAACCATCAGCATTACAGACAAGAAAGTAAATTATTTGCCTACCTGAGTTAAACAGACACTAAAAGCATTCATGTCCGGGAAAAGAGGTAAGGAAATAAGATGATGGAAAAGTTCACTAAAGACAACAGGCAACTTCACTTCTGGTAAAGCTGAGAAGTTTGGGGCACCCTGAGATTTTCTTCCATAACGTTTATTACAATTGTGATTAATGGTGCAGTTACATCTGTGTCTCACTCACAACGACGGTCCCCACGAAGGCAGTGACCACGCTGGTTGTACTCACTTCACCATCCCCTGCATCTGGTATGCTTCCCGACAGAAAACACTGGCTAAATATCTAATGAATAAAAAAATGAGAAAACTAACAATGATAACTTAAAAATTCAATTCCTTGGAAAATTCTGAACACTCCAATAATTCCTGGGTAAAAAAAGAAACAAAAGCTAAGATAGGGGTTGGCCCCGTGGCTGAGTGGTTGGGTTCACGCACTCCGCTCCCACAGCCCAGGGTTTCACTGGTTTGCATCCGGGGCGTGGACAGGGCACCGCTCATCAGGCCACGTTGAGGTGGGGTCCCACATGCCACAACGAGAAGGACCTGCAACTAAGATATACAACTACGTACTGGGGGATATGGGGAGAAAGAGCAGAAAAAAAAAAATGCTAAGATGATGGACTATTTACAAACCACAAACAATGAGAACACTTTCTGTTAAACTGTGATGAGGCTGAAACTGTACTGAGAAGAAAACACGTGGTTTTAAACTCATAATTCAACAAGTAAGAACATAAATGAACTGAAGATTCAACTCAAGAAGCTGGGAAAAAAGTAAGAGAAATCAATTAACACATAAACTTAGAAACTGATACATTAAAAAACAAAATTAAACTAAACACCCAACCTATAGAAATGATGAATAACTCAAGAACCAATTTTTATAATACATCAACAATACAGATAAACCTCTACAAATAAGGCAAAAAGCAAAAAATACACAACATTCGGATTGAGAAAGGGATTATAGCCACATATGCAAAGTTAACTAAAATTCCAAGGTAAAAACCAAGTCCCTACATACTGATTTCAAATAATTTTCATGGTGCCAAGTGTCAGCTCCAAGGGATAACATGAGACTCATAAATCGCAGGGTCAAAAGCCAGGAAGATCACAAATTTTGGTGACCAACCATCTAGAGAAAAGATATCTTGGTCAAATATCTAGAAAAAAATTTGGAAATTTCCCTTATCATGCTCCAAGACCCTGTACGTGGCACTTGTATTTGACTAATGATGAAAAACCCCCCTCTTCTGGTAAATAGTTCAAATCTGGAAGCTGTTTCCATGGAAGGAAAAACGTCCCTCCCAACGCTCTTTATGAGGATGCTGGTGTCTTGTTCTCCTGCCTTGAGAGAATGACATTTCTTGATATGTGGAAACGCTTTTCAACAAAGAGCCCGTTGCTACAAATATGTTAAAACTGGCTCAAAATTCTATTTCAATTCCAGTGTCTACTGTTGGTATGGAAAGAATTTTTAGTGCTGTGGATAATCTATGGACCAATGGATTCAACAGATTGAGTACGGAATAAAACCTAGGCGCTTAAAAAAAAAGTAACTTTTACCTCTTTAGATACAAACTATCAGTTTCTGAGAAATAAACTACAAAGTAACATCGCTAATGTAAAATATTAGATGCAATGGAGACCGTCATAAGTAAAATGAGGGAAAATTGTGACTTCTGAAATTTCGTAGGTGTCCTGGCCAGCTGTCCATATTTGTCTTTGACTAAGGCCATTTTAAACTCTGTACAGATAGAAGTTAACTTGTAGGAAATGTAGTAATGCAAATAATTCCTGTCTATTGAAAGGCAAACTATGTCTCACGGAATGCCAGTGATTATCTCCCTGGGAATACCAACTAATTTTGTATCCGTTTTAAAAATTATTCCTTACCCGACTTTTATTTTAAAGTGTAGTATTCCGGGTTCTCTTTTGATATAATTGTAATATCTTGGTGGTTCTCTCACTAATTAATGAGTTAAATAAAATCTTGGTAAGTATTCATTTTATACTTATATGAGTCATGATTTTCCCTTTTTAAAAAATTATCCTTTAACAGTTTACATGTACACACATACACATACATCCACATGTATACATACATCCACAATGTATAATCTCATAGGACAATTTTTATCATGTGTTTCCAGTAATTTTGCTAAAATTTTTTTTAAATTCCACTCCTGGCAACCTCAGGAGACATTCCCACAAAGCCCCAAGAGTAGAGCCAAGAGGCTGAGATTCGTCTCCAAATGGAAGTTTGCCAATGGCCCATCCTGGGCCCAGAGTTGGTCTGGAGGGGTGAGGAGTCAGGGACCAAGTGTGTATCTCCATTTGTTCAAGCTGGATGATCAATGAAAAGGACTAGTTAAGGCAAGGAAGGGTCACAAACACTGCAAGAGGTCTCTAGAAGGAACTTCAGGAAGAGGTAGTCCTGGAAACGAGTCTTGAGGGATTTCCACTAGCGGAGACCGGGCTGGAGAGGCCCCAGAGGCCAAAGAATGCATGAGCAGTGACCTGGAGGTAGGCACACAGGGAGGCTCAAGGGAGCAGCAGTTTGGCAGAAATGTAGGCAAATGTTGCTGTGGACGAGACCGAGAAGATAGGAAAGAGATGGAAATTCGCCATTAGGCAAAGTATGTTTCTGACTCAGCCATCTGAACACTACGGACATGTGATGACCATTTTGACTGCTTATTCTACTTTTCCAGATACTTCAACTCAACTTGCAGACAGGGTGCCAATCACAAGCAGCTAAGCATGAGCAGCGAATACTAATCAAAGGGGAAAGAATGAGTTGATTGTGGCCATGTTTGAACAGGAAATTCCTCCAGCCAACTCTTGCGTCTCTTCCGCACGTGACTTGGGGCGCTGGGTTGCTGGTGGTAGCAGATGCTCCGCTGGCCACAGCTCAAAGGTTTATGGTTTGTTTTTTAGGGTCAGGAACTAGGTGTGAAGTAGGTATGAAACCTTTTGCTATTTGCTGCTGTTGCCAAAATGTCTCTACTACGTCCTCGGCACCCTGCAATACGCTCACTGCCCACGAGCTTACAGCAAGCGCCACATTCCCAAATGCACGTTTCCCTCAAAAACACCCATCAAGACACACCAACCCTCTCTCTCCTTCAAGCTCAGCGTCGTGTCTTGCTCTCAGGATCAGTGAAGTCCAAGGTTTGAAATCCAAATGATGGTTAAAAATCAGCTGATAAAATATTCATTATTATACAACTAGAGGTGGAGAAATGAATGTTCAAACGATTGATTAAATAGAACAACACCAAGAGGTTTATATCAGAGCATCCTGCTTTGGAGGAATGGTGAACACAGACTCCCCAACTGAGCCAGGGGTGGGGGAGTGCTACAAACTGTCTTTAATCAGAAAAGGAAAAACACTGGAGCTATGCTGAGGGTGATCACTCCAGCAGTGGTGTGAGGAAGGACCAGAGACAGCAAGACCAGGAGTAGCTGGAAGATGACGATGATGATATCAGGTCATAAAAGGGCCTGGCTTCTGGGCAGAGCAGCCTCTGCCAGCCCATTTGAGAACAGTCAAGAAGAG